TTCTGTCCAGTAGAAAAATAACTACAAAGGTGACATTTTATTGCCTTGCTGGACAACCAGTAACCAGTATTGCCTCTCATTCAACAATTTTATTTTAGGGTTAATTTGTGACCTGCCTGCAATTGTTTAGATCATCAAATGCTCTTTGAATTAGCATTATCATTTTATTTCTACACTCATTAATTAATGAATTTAATAATATATTTCATATATGTTGTTTATTTTTATGAAAGACATCACTGGTTAACGTTTTGAAAATCATGCTTTAACACAGCTGTGGGCCCAGTGTTGAACTAGGTACAGGTTTTCAGTTTCTTTGTACTTTTGCCCAGGGTTAGAGATAACAATAGAAAATGTCCTATATCCCAAGGCAGAAAAATCTTTTGCTCAGAGAGGGTAGAGATTGTAAAGCTTGAGTAGCATTCTTAGAAACTATTTGTAAGGCTGCTGAAATTGCAGAAGGATCATTGGAATATGCCCTAATAAACTATGGAATAAGAAATTGACAAAATATTTATATGTGCACCAAAGAATCTAATTTAGTTATGATCAGAGAATGACAAGTCATTTTTACCCAAAGGAATTTCATATGCCGTTTAGAATAAAAAGAAAAATGCATAAGCTCTTAATGGTCTTCTTTTAAATTTATTTTTCCTAAAAAATAATAAAATAAAATAAAAAAATAAACACCTCAAAAGAGGTGAGAAGACCTCCTGAGATGGAACACACATTCTTACTTGCTTTTACCTGCAGTTCTTGATAATGACAGTCTTAGTTCCACACATTGAAAGACTGTCTTTTCTTAGTCATGATGCTTTGGTAGGATGGGACTGAGAGAAACTTATGGTAGCATATCTATTGATTTTGCCAAAGATTGAGTAGAAGAGCAACTGTACCATTCATTTTGATTTTGGTAGTTTCCCCAATTTCAGATTCTGGTTAACATTAAAAGGTGAAATGAAATGATTATAATCATACAGAAAGAATCAGTTCCAACCTTCCCTGGTAAGTTATTCCTCTTTGTAATAGATTGGATTCATCCATTGTAAATGGTCCTATAACCTGAAGCTATCCGAGCATCTGGAGAGAAAAGTCTTGACGGTAGGAGCACATCCTGCTTCCAATAGGGAACAGTAAGTACAGTTATCTGAACAAGAATTCTTTGCTTCAAGACAGGAAATTACTCTCTGGCACTCAGTAAAATAAATGTAACATTCTGTAAGCTAGTATCGCTCTATGTGAAAAGTATAGACTATATTCATATTAGAATATAATCTAGTTTTAGCGTTTCTTTGGTACGCAGTAAAATAAATGTAACATTCTATAAGCCAATATCACTTTATGTGAGGAATTATAGATTATATTCATAATAGAAGCATAACCATTAAGGGCTTCAGCATTTCCACAGGCGTTCTCTTTTAATGTTATTTAGAAAACTAACAAAGAAGTGGTAACTAATTAAATGTGCTCCATTGCTTCTGTCCTAGGTTCTCTGTCTAGTCTCTGTGTTATTTTATTAAAAATGTCTACACGCAGATTAATATCAAGTCATTTTTGTGACTTTTGAAGGGATAAAATTATCTTGCAATAACACATTTGCATTGATAAAGCACACGACTTTATTTTCTTTTTTTTTTAATATATTTTATTATCCTTTACAGAGAGGAAGGGAGAGAGATAGAGAGTTAGAAACATCGATGAGAGAAAAACATCGATCAGCTGCCTCCTGCACATCCCCCACTGGGGATGTGCCCGCAACCCAGGTACATGCCCTTGACCGGAATCGAACCCGGGACCCCTCAGTCCGCAGGCCGACGCTCCATCCACTGAGCCAAACTGGTTTCGGCAACTTTATTTTCTTTATAATATATAAAGCAAATTTAAATTACTTCTCACAATGGACATTTATTTCAATCTTTAGAAAAGAAGACGTTTATAATTTAAGCATATTTTATAAACCAGACCTCTTCAGTATTTAGACAGAAACTATTATCTGTGATGGATCTTGTTATTTTATCTCCTATAACTAAATGTATGATTTAAAGTCACATACAAAGTTTATTGAGAATTATCTTCATTTGTTAAAACTATTTTTTTAAAGTTAACCACTTTTCTGATGTGATTAGCTGTTAAACTCCCTGAAGACAAATGACTAACCCAGTTGATTTCTCAATGTCCCTTTCAGAGTTGGGTATATCATCCTTTAAGTCAGCCTTTACAATTTAGAACAGTTGCTCACCTTTATCTATATTAGGTTAAAATTTAGTTGGGGAGCATAAAGAAGCCTCAATGTCCTTCAATTAAGTTCTCCAACAACATACCTCAACTCTCTGCCATCAGATTCAAACTTGACTCCGCTCTCCTCTCTCATCTCAATTTAAATATCTATTATTTCCAAATGCAATTATATAACTAGTTCTCTTAAATTACCTCTGTCATAAAAAGATAATCAATCACATCTGTGAAATTATATTCATGGAATATAAAATCCTTTGAGAACTCCATTGATTAGAAAATTTTGTCAAAACCCTTTTATTTAGTCTCTATTTTAGATCTAGGTTAAATATTATAATGATTTGTATCAAAAGCTATAATTTAATTTGGAAGGAAAGGTTTCAAAGAATCATTTCACTGATAAAGAACTTAAAAAACCAATTACTTTTTTTGTGATTTCAGAAGAAAAAAATAGTTATGATAATTATTTAGCAATTATAGGTCTGCTGAGACCAAAAGAACAAACACAGTAGAAAAGTGATTTGATAGAACAGTAGATAATAACAACTCAACATTCATGGCCCCATTCAACCAAAGAATTAAGTGCATACAATATGTCAGACATTATTCAGTTATAAATTCATTATGTAAATATGTACTGAGTGAGGGCAGTGCAGTAGACAGTGCTTGCTTCTGGGAAAACAGAGAGTTACAAAGCTGACAGGCTAGCAAAAAGCACAGTTACCCAACTAACTCTAGTAAAATGCAAAGGCTATTACGATAAAGATGTCATGAGAGCATGTGTCTCTAATGGAGGCTTTTAACACAGTGATAAGGTCAGAAAAGGCCTCTATAGTGAGAAGACTTTCACTCTTGAAGTTGAAGAACATGTAGGATGAATCCAGGGAAAGTGAAGAGGAACATGAATTCCACAGATAGGAAATAGTAAATGGTATTGTGCAGAAAATGAGAGCTTTTTTTTTTCTCTTCACAGATACAGTGAATGTTCAGAATAAACTAATAAGAGGCATCTAGAGAGATATTCAAGACCAGATGTTAACAAATTTTGAAGGTCATATTTATGAATTGGCACATTAAGTTCCTAGAGCAAATTAAGCCTGAAACATCGCTAGAAGCAAAACTAATAAAAGTAAAGTTGTCCTACTTCAAGCATATCATGAAAAGGCAGTGTTTTTGGGGTGGGGGGAGTGGGAGAGAAATGCCGAAACAAAACTAACATGCATCAGGAAAAAAGGAATATTGGGCACGAGGTGGATTAATTCTATAAAAGAAGCCATAGACATGAATCTACAGGAAGTGAGCAGGACTCTTGAGGACAGGACATTGTGGACATCACTCATCATAAAATTTCCTGGAGCCAGAACCAACTCAAGGGCATGTAGCATACATTATTTTATATCATGGTAGGGTGCTAACCAATTCATGTCAGAAAAGACTCTCTTCAAATAGTGCAGAATGAATTTAATAGGAACTAGAATAAAGGTAAGAAGGCAAATTAGAAGGTTATTGCAATAGTACATGAGAGTGAAAGCAATGTGGATGGAGTAGGAGGGGGAGATTGTAGTGTAGTTTAATGCAGAAATGACAGGTTTGATTATTCACTGAATGTGGAAGATAAAGTAGATGAAGGAGTTGAGGATTGTACTCGAATTTCTGAATTTGATAACTGAGAGGATGGTTGTATTATTTATTGAAAATGGAAGCAGGTTCAATAGGATTAATGGAAAGTAAGCTTAGTATTATGTATAGGCATTGAGTTTAAGATATGTATTTGATATCCATTTGAAATAAGCATGGAAAAAAATAATGTATTGCTGTGCATTTTAAAGAAAATGATTCTGGAGACAGCAATATATAATATTGGCATTTAAAACTATGGAAGTGAATTAAATTGGCCAGATGGAGTATAGGAAGAAAGGAGGATTTAGGACAGATGCTTGTGAAATGTTATAATTTAATTATGAGTAAGAGAGAAGGAAATGAAATAAAGTGAGAAAGAGAACATAAGTAGTGTGGATGCAAGAAAGTCAAAGAGTTTCAAGGGAGGTTTTCAAAAGTGTCAAATGTACTCACAGAAATAGAATGTAAGGATGAGAACTGTGCATGATGATGGTCAATAGTGCTGAGTGGAGTTTAGTGAATAGATAATGAAAATTGTGAAATTAGTAATAAATAAGAACTGAGAAAGCAAACACAATAAATATAAAATATATACCTTATAATAATTAGGCTATTTTAAAAACTGGGGAATGGCACTATGATGTTTAGAAGCAAAACACAACATCAAAGCAGGATTATGTGTGTGTGTGTGTATGTATATATGAACTTATTTATTTTTATTGAAAATGACAAAAAAGGTTCTGCATAACTACAGCATTATAGAATAAGCTAAAAAGTATTGAACACACAAATCAGCTGGGATAATTGATATTAGAACATGTCTGGTAAGAAAATGGAAAGCAATGTAATACAGATAGGAGATACTAAGAATTAACAATATCCTAAACATGGTGTGGGTAAGCATTAAAGAGATTCCAGCAGGATAAAGAAATAAATATATAAGTGTTTTAAGTATACCATTCTGGCCTCTCTACGAATATGGACCACAGAGGGACCAGCCTTGAAGCACAGAAGCAAGGTATTAGTAATGCAAAAGTTCAACCAAAAATGATCAGACATAAACAGAACAGATCAAAATATAAGCAGGGATAAGGAAAATAATACAGAAGTTGTTGAGGAAGTTAGAGGAATATAAGGGACTTTGTTTCTGACTAGAAATGATGAGAGATGTGGTGATCGAGGTAAATAAATGGAATGTTTTGAAAATTTCCAGTTTCTATTATTAGAAGACTAGTAGCCCGGTGCACGAAATTCTTGCACTGGGGTGGGGGTGGGGGGGCCCTCAGTCTGGCCTTCACCCTCTCCAATCTGAGACCCCTCAGGGAATGTCCAACTACCTGTTTGTGCCCACACTTTTAACAGATAACAGCTCCATTGTTGTTTCTTTCTTATGCTTAAAACCATTGGAATTAGTAGCTATTCAAAGTGTGTATACATTTTGGGGGGACACCCAGTATATCTCTAGTCAGTGGTGAAAGAAAGCAAAAGCAGAGCTGGC